TTCATGTCCTTTGCAGGGACATGGATGAAGCTGGAAATCATCATTCTGAGGAAACTATTGCAAGGACAGAAAACGAAACATCACATGTTCTCACTCATAGGTGGGAATTGAACAATGAGAACACTTGGACACAGGGTGGGGAACATCACACACGGGGGCCTGTAATAGGGTGGGGGGTGGGGGAGGGATAGCATTAGGAGATATACCTAATGTAAATGATGAATTGATGGGTGCAGCAATACATATGTATACATATGTAACCTGTATGTTATACACATGTACCTTAGAACTTAGAGTATATTAAAAAAAAAAAAGTGACACTTACATTGATAGGGCCTCCTTGCAAGGCCTAAGAAAAAAAAACAATGAAGGGCTCTGAGGCTTCACCTTCATCATCTTCACAGTAAACCCAGTTCTGGCTAAGATATATTACAGAGGACATTTCTGAGAATGCTCCAGTTTCTCTAATTAATGAAAAAGCTCTTCAGTTTTGATACTTGGAGATGGGTAATATTACAAATAATCAATTGCCTGCACAAGATAATGGATTATTCTGTTACTGACAGTGTTCCCTTTTCAAGTTTTATTTGTTGAAGTATGATCATTCAAAAATTCCAGCATTTTGTGTTATTCAGAAAAAAAAAAAAGAGCCAAATTACTATTAGCCACTTTCACGGGGTGTGAGAAATGGAAACGAAGGATTATACTTATCCAAAAGCATTGTTTTTCTCAGTATAAAATTTTCTCCTGGAGACTTAATAAGTAAGAAAATTGTATCTTGCTTGTGTTTGCATACTTTCTCCAAGAAAATTACATACAAATGTTAGATTTAATTGGTGGTTGAAAATGAGGAAAGAAAATAGTAAAGCAAGGAGTCTAAACTTGTTAGAATAACTTCTCCAAAACTGAGAAAAAGCCATTTTTCATGCCTTGCTTAGATCTCCATGGTCGGTAAGAAGTGGACAATTTAGATAATTACTGTAAGTAGGAAATACAAACAGTCTCTATAGATAATTCTAGAAGAAACTTTTTTTTTCAGAACGTCACAAATAAAAAAAAAATTCCCTTAATTTTTTACTACAGAGCACTGGTCTGCTTTTACTACAGAGCACTGGTCTTTAATTTTTTTCCTGTCTCAGGTACACAATTTTAACAGTCTAATATTTGGCCACGTTTTCCTCACTTCTTTCTGAGGATAAAGAATGAAATAATTAAATGGCCAAAAGAGGAATGGAGGAGAGGTACAGAATGAGGACTCCCAAGAGAAACTGGAAAATAAAGATAATATGAATTTGCGGAATAATAAATTTGTCTGGTGTGATGGTTAATACTGAGTGTCAACTTGATTGGATTAAAGGATGCAAAGTATTGTTCCTGGGTGGGTCTGTGAGGGTGTTGCCAAAGGTGAGTAACATTTGAATCAGTAGACTGGGACAGGCCGACCCACCCTCAATCTGGGTGAGCACCATCTAATCAGCTGCCACCATAAAAGCAGGAATGGAAAGAACAGACAGCCTGAGTCTTCTGGCTTTCGTTTTTCTCCCATGCTGGATGCTTCCTGCCCTCGAACATCAGACTCCAAGTTCTTCAGCTTTTGGACTCTTGGACTTACACCACTGGTTTGCCAGGGGCTTTCAGGCCTTTAGCCACTGACTCAAGACTGCACTGTTGGCTTCCCTACTTTTGAGGTTTTGGGACTCAGAGTGGCTTCCCTGCTCCTCAGCTTGCACATGGCCTATTGTGGGACTTCTCTTTGTGATCGTGTGAGTCAATACTCCTTAATAAACTCCCTTTCATGTCTACATCTATCCTATTAGTCCCGTCCTTCTAGAGAACTAATACATCTGCCTTCCCTATCATCTTCTCAAACTATCTTTGGAGTGTGGACTCTGCAAGAGAGAGGCCTACTGTTTGGATAAGATGGTCAGGCATCAATCAGGGACTTGCCTGATCTGTACAGTCTGGGCAGTAGGGTGGTCACTGCATTCGTCAAGTGGGCTTAATTAGTTCAGCTGCCTCCTGTTGATAATGCATAAACAATGTTTGCAACCTTAGAACATTAAAAACAATATGAGGGGTTAATTGGGAATAATGGTACCCATATTAAATAATTGATTCACCAATAAACTAAATGTAATGCACACTTCACCTTCTTCACCAAGGATCTGAGGCACTCACCAGACACACTTGTAAAAAAGTAAACAAAAATTTTAAAGAGTGTGGTGATGGAAAATAGAATAGTAGTTTAGTAATCATGATGGTTGGGGTATTGGGTACTGGGCAAATTGAACACAAACATCCCATCCAGGAGGGCCTGCCCAGACACTAAAATACAATGAATTTGACTCAGAAACCAAATTTGTCATCAAAACCAGTGATAAGAGAACTAGGGTTAGTTTAAAACTTTGATTAATCATGAGAGAGAAAAAAAATTGTTTCTTCCAGGAAGCAATGCTATTCCTATTATTGCTTTTAACAGGAATTTCTCAAGTAAATATTCATAGCAAACAAAATAATAGATTTATAAACTGTTTCTTGTATTGTCAGTTGACAAAGGCCAGCTGAGTTTTCAAAAGGCTACTGGGTGAAAGCAGCTCTTCAGGGAGTCATCCATAACTAGATACAGTTTCCTAAACAGCTCACCCAAGCATACATACGAAAACGACAAACTAAAAAGAACACCTACTATAATTCTGGTACTTCTGATTCCTTCTCAATATGGTGTTGGTAAAATTGGCTAAGAGAAATGCTTCTGCCCTAGTTCTGATTCAGGTTTTCTTTTCTTTTTGTCCATGTTCTTTATAAACATTATGTATTATACTTGAATAACTATAGAAAATTTGTTTCTAATTGCTCTCGTTGAGATTTTAAAGGATATTTATTTGCTGCATTTAATTTATTTTTTTTAAGACAGGGTCTCACTCTGTCATCCAGGCTGGAGTGCAGTGGCACTACCTTGGCTCACTTTGGCTTTGGCCTCTCAAAGTGTTGGAATTACAGGCATGAGCCACCGTGTCCAGTCTGCATTTCATTTCCTATGGCTATTTTCTCTCTTTGGATCACAGAACCTTAGTTTCTTTTTGAGATGGTAACTTGTAGAAGAATGGCAACATGATTTCAATAAGGTTAATAGACTCCCAATACTTTTATAGATGAGATGGAGGAATATAATTTGGGTGGCTGATTTGTAACCAATTGAATAACTCTATCCCAAGGATGTAGGCTGTCCTTCTGCATGGAGGACTCTGGCATGCTGTGAAGATCAGTTCATGTATAAGAAATGCAGAAGGAAGGGTAGTGGAGTAGATAGAGCTCAATTTTGGACATATATGTTGGAGGTTCATGTTGAAATGTACTTTATTAGTTGAATATATTGACTTGGGGACACAGAGAGAAGGGGTAAGAGGGAAGGGGGAGAGAAAGGGGAAGAGGAAGGTATCTAGTGATATAACAATTATGTAACAAGTGATATCTAAGCACTTTACATGTTATAATTCATGAGACCCTGGCAACCATGTCAGGGTTATCTCATTACAATCTCCATTTCATAGATGAACTGAAATATGAGTGGTAAACTACTTTTCCCAAGCCCACACAGCTGGTAGGTGGTAAGAACTGAGATATGAACCCTGCTTGAAGTTAGAGATTTTTGGCCATTAAGTCATAGGCATGGCTGAGTTGCTCAGGTTGTCTGGATGAACTGAGGTTCATCAATGTGTTGACTTTAGAGGTACAGAAAAAATAAAGGCCACATTTTTGGAGAATGTGTTCATAGCCTTCAGTCCCGAAAGCTTAGAAAGTGTGATATAGAGTGGGTAATAAGAAGAACATGGCAGACACCTGGGAACAAAGTTTCAAGAAAGTGGGAATGAAGCTGACATCCAAGGACCAAAGCAAGCAGGAAGGTGCCAGAGACAGCAGCAGAACCATTTCAAAGCAAGGATGGGTGAGAAAGCAGATGGCAGTGGATGGTTGTGCACCTGAAAACTTTCAATGCAGGGTAATCTAGAAGCTTGACCATGAAGCAGAGGGAGAAAGGGTTGTGGCTAGCTACTCAGGAAACCAAAATGAAGAGAAGGGTTTTAATCTTTCAATGAGAAAGGCTTGAGTGTATTTTAAATATTGAGTGGCAAACGGAGAAAGAAAAGGTGAAGATGCAAAAACAGAGGGTAATACTTGGTGAAAGGTTGTGGAGGGTGCAGGAACAGATGGACTCCTAAGCCCAGGTGCCAAGAACATCTTGGATAGAATTGCATTCTGCTTTAGGATGGAGGAAGGAAGTAATGATGAATGTATGAGCACAGCTAAATGTATAGGTAGGATGCCCATGCTTCTGACAGCTAAAAGAAAAAAAAAAAGCAAAACAGAAATTAATGTATAGGTAGAGGAGAAAACTTTATGCTTTTCATCATGAGGAAATGGAGGCCCAGACAAGCTAACGAATTGGTGTAGGGTCAATCTCACAGCCCTTTCCTTTATAAATCACCCAGTCTTGGGTATTTCTTCATAGCAGCATGAGAATGGACTAATACAATAGCACAGTAGGGTGCTGGTTATTTCCTGTTAGGTTGGTGCAAAAGTGATTGCGGTTTTAGACCGTGAATTTTAAATAATTTATTACTAGGCTCAAACACATCTTTATTAATCAAAATAGAAACCATTACAATCAACACATTTTTTGCCAACAAGAAATAAGTTTGTTTATTCCTATAGCATAACAATCTGTGCTTTGGGGCCAGGCGCGGTGGCTCACGCCTGCAATCCCAGCACTTTGGGAGGCTGAAGCGGGTGGATCACAAGGTCAAGAGATCAAGACCATCCTGTCCAACATGGTGAAACCTCATCTCTACTAAAAATACAAAAAATTAGCTGGGTGTGGTGGCACGTGTCTGTAGTCCTAGCTACTTGGGAGGCTGAGGCAGGAGAATCGCTTGAACCCAGAAGGTGGAGGTTGCAGTGGGCCAAGGTTGCACCATTGCACTGTAGCCTGACGACAGAGTGAGACTCCGTCACAGAACAAACAAACAAAACAACCTGTGCTTCGGGATTCTATGAACTCTTGGAAAGCATTTTCTGTATCCTGCTCCTTGTGGAAGCATTTTCACCACAAAAAGTTGTCAAGATGCTTGAAGTGGTAGTCAGTTGGCGAAGGGTCAGGTGAATATGGTGAATGAGGCAAAACTTTGTAGCCCAGTTCGTTTGACTTTTGAAGCGTTGGTTGTGTGATGTGCAGTTGAGTGTTGTTGTGGAGAAGAACTGGGCCGCTTCTGTTGACCAATGCCGACTGCAGGTGCTGCAGGTTTTTGTGCATCTCATCGATCTGCTGAACATGCTTCTCAGATGTAATGGTTTCACCAGGATTCAGAAAGCTGTAGTGGATCAGACCAGCAGCAGACCACCAAACAGTGACCATGACCTTTATTGGTGCAAGTTTGGCTTTGCAAAGTGCTTTGGAGCTGTTTCTCAGTCCAACCACTGAGCTGGTTGCCACCATTTTCTGTAAAATCCACTTTTCATTGCACGTCACAATCTGATGAAGAAATGGTTCATTGTGCATAGAATAGGAGAAGATCACACTTCAAAATGATGATTTTTAAAAATTTTTGCTCAGGTCATGAGGCACCCACTTACCGAGCTTTTTCACCTTTCCAATTTGCTTCAAATGCCAAATGCCTGAGGTTCAGCTTGGATGATTGTTCTCAATTGGTCATTGTCAACTTCTGATGGCTGGCCACTATGCTCCTTATCTTCAAGGCTCTCATCTGCTTTGCAAAATGTTTTGAACCATGACTGCACTGAATGATTGTTAGCAGTTCCTGGGCCAAATGCATTGTTGATGTTGCGAGTTGTCTCTGTTGCTTTCTCAAATAAGAAAATTGCTCGAATTTGCTTTTTGTCTAATTATCATTTCCATAGTCTAAAATAAATATAAAATAAACAGCAAGTAATAAGTCATTAGCAAAAAAAAAACCACACAAAGTGTGAAATGTGCATTAAAATGATGTATAACATAACCACATTTAAGAATGTATTCCAATACCAAATGGCAAATTTAAATAATGCAAAAACTGCAATTACGTTTGCACCAAACTAATACATGCTGTCTTCCTCCTCTTCCTCCATACTTTCATGTCTGAAAAGGCTGATTTATGCAGCATTCCTCAGGTTCCCTTGCCAGCTGGCTTTTGATTGGAAGTCCTTGTTAACAAAGAAGGAACTAGCCTTCTACTAGAGAACATAGCTGTGTTAGGATGCTCTCATGTGGCTATAAATACCTGAGACTAGATAATTTATAAAGAAAGAGTTTTAACTGGCTTTTGGTTCTGCAAGCTGTGTAATAAGCCTGATACTGGGCTCAGCTCCTGGGGAGGCCTCAGGAAGCTTACAATCATGGTGGAAGGTGAAGGGAGCAGCAGGTACATCACAAGGCCAGAGCAGGAGCAAGAGTTAGGGCACAAGGTGCCACACACGTTTAAATAACCAGATCTTGTGAGAATTGACTCACTGTTGCCAGGATAGTACCACAGGAATGATACTAAACTATTCATGAGATATCTGCCCTCATGATCCAATCACTTCCCACCAAGTCCAACCTCCAACATTAGGGATTACGTGTCAACAAGGATTTGGGCAGGGACATACATCCAAACTACATCAATAGTCATAGTTCTATTAAATTGGAAGCTAAGACTCTTAGTTACTTGGGGTTTCTTTTGCCACTGTATGTACTGGCAGATTACTAAGGGGAAATTTTGTCTCTGCCCTCTTCTCCCCACTATTATCTATCTTCTGCTGTGCTTTACCCCAGAAGGCTGATCCCTGTGGGTTACATTACCCAATGGCTTCCACCAATAGAAGATCCAGGCAGGAGACAGAGAAGTGGGAGAGGCAGAGATCTGTCTTCCCTATTCACTGCTTGCCCAAAGTGGAAGCCCTTACAAGGCTTGGGTGACACTTTCTTCACCTTGGCCCTTTCTCCAGGTAGGTTCTGTGCAAAGCAGTCCCTGATACTGTGCCCTTAGGAGGTTAGCTTGGGAGTGTTCATGGGATGACCACTTGGGGTGGGCGAGTGAGAGGATCAGGATTGGGCAGAGTGGGCTAGGATGGCCCTGCAGTTAGTTGTCCCAATTTGGGGCACGTGAACTGGATCTTCATACCTCTGCATAGACCAGTCATTGCATGAGGCTGCCCCAGGGAAAGGGGATATGCTTTTGGGTGAGGAAGTTCCCGTTAGGCAAGGACAGGTCCCAGAGAGGAATCTGGTTGAGACCTATTGGCCCCTGCACTTCCAACTGCTAGTAGGTGAGTGCTCCATCCCCGGGGTGGGGAATCGAGGTGATGCTCCCTTCCAACCCTTTGAACCAAGGAGTTGTAAAGGTTTCCTGCTCTTGCTAGTTCCTGAGTGCCTCAGCACCTCTGGTTTTTGTTTCTTCATTAAGTTCTCTTAATTGGATCTTCTGAGTTGATCTGTTTCTTTTCAGGGCCCTAATATAGATAATAATAAATTATATAAATATATAAATAGAAACACTTAAATGTTCAAAAAGTTTAGTAGTCTAGAATAGAGAGACTTGATCTGGCCTGGGAGGGGAGGGCAAGTTTGGTCAAGGAAGTGACATTTGAACCAAAATCTGAAAAGCTAACTTAACAAAGGAGAGAGAGAAGGGAGAATGGAGGAGGCATTGAATCCATATGGCCCGGATCACAAGGCGGGCGGGGGCAGTACAGGACGAGGGAGACAGGGAATCAGCTTGAGAGAAAGGTAGGGACAACACTCTCTGGGTTTTGTGGACCTCATTTTTGTTAATTCAAAAAGTAATGGAAAAGCTTTACGGATTTTTGAGCTGGGGGAGGGGGACACAGTCAGATAAGCATTTTAAGACAATCTCTCTAGCTAATCAAAGACCAGTGTTATTTTTAATTTGGTGAGAAATTACCACTTGCCTATGTCTGTTAGAAGCAGAAAAGTCTCTTTTTTGTTTACTAGTCTCCAGACTGGCTGGACTGAGGTTTCTACCACTGGGCTAATCCTGCATATAAATGGCTAATCCTGCATATAAACCACGGTATTTCATGGACAGAAGACTGTTACACGCTATACCCCACAGTGCCTGTTGCATCTTTTTCGCATCATGGCAATTTTTTTTCCCTAGCAGGTAAGATAATACAAAAAAATGTATTAATCATTAGGCTTTCAATTCAGGAACAATTGTACTATATATCAAAAAGTTGGGAAAGAATATAGTTTATCTATACGTTCCACTTGTTTTTAGAGTCTTTAAAAAGCACGCAAATGTCCACGATTTTTGGTCGTGGAATTGATTTAATAGAATTTCCCTTTAGATATTAATGAAAAACAGAATGGAGAATGTTCCTCATAATCACACACACACACACACACACACAGCTTAGGCCCCCAGGGCTCCTTTCTGCTTTCTCAGATCCTGATGACTATTGAGCAGAGATGAACAGTCATGGGACAGGGCCCAACTGCTTAACTTAGGAAGTGACATTAAATTCTTCTTGGAAGAAGTTGGCACAATGTTTTTGTTCTGTTTTAGATGTTACTTAATGGGATGTTAGAAGGGAAGTTGTGACTGATGCATCAAGAAATGACAGCTACCAAAATCACTTACGAAATTTCAAAGTAAATAGCTGAGGACAGCTTAGATGCTCAATCACACAGGCTACAAATGACTCAAGTGACTCCAAATGGAGGAGGGCTTTTGAGAATTTATTTGGACAGGGCTGTGCTGAGAGTCCCACCCTCCCCCCACAGTGGGCGGGGGCACTGGCATCGAACACCAAGCTGAGTGAGAAGGGCTTCTCCAGGCCTCCCAGGGAGCTTGCTGGCTGCTCCTGGCCAACAGCAGACTGGGCCTGACTCCCATCGGAGGAAGGCCAGCATCCTAGGGCAGCCAGTAGAGGGTTGGCAGAGGGCCGTGCCTGGGAGGTCACTGTGCTATCTTCCAACCACACTGTGTGAGTCTCAGATACCATATGTGGAATCCGCAGCAGGAAGGTCAGCTTGAGGTCATTTTAAAAGGGATTCTTCTGAAAAAGTCTCACTGAAGGGTTGACAGGACCCTGATGCTGAGAGTCTGTGTGGAGGGGACAGAAGGAAAACCAAGGTTGGGGTAGAAAAAGCAGCTAGAGAAAATTCATTGCCAGTGTCAGGAAGCATGGCCAAACATTCCCAGTGAGGGCTCACAACAGTGTTCACGGAAGAGTCACTTTCAAATACCCACCAAGCCCAGCGTGGGTGATGCCTTTCCACCAGAGGTCCAGTTCACTACCTGCCTTCCTGCGGCCTCCACCCCTCTTTCCCCTTACCATGGCTAGCAAGTGGGCCATGGGAGGGTGACATGGGGGAGGAACAAAGCTCCTTGTCCGCACTTCTGCCCACAGGAGGCCCCTGGTGGGGAAGGGGACAACATTTTAATTACTGAATTAAGAGCAGGGTTTTTCTCTTAAAGTAACAGGATTTTCTATTACCTGAGAGAATAAACAAGTTACGGGACTGCTTGAGTTTCATTCTGTGGAAGAGGAAGAACTATCCTCACGGAATAGATTATTAAAGGGATAGCAGAAGACTAAAAATTCAGTTGCTTTTATGGACACACCCATGAGTCCTGTTAATTCCATGTGTTGGTTATGTATAGAGTTTACATTCTGCTTCTGGAGTAGTGAAATCATTTTATCAAAAAAAATTCTATTGATATTGCCCCAGGATGACAAATTTACAAAAACATGCTTGCCCTCTTTTCATTAGTTTATGTGGCTAAATCATAATTCTTTTCAAACCAATGGGAAAGTCTTAAGGAAATAGAAGATGGAATAAACTAAAGGACAATGCTGGGCTGGGTGCTATGGCTCGCGCCTGTAATCCCAGCACTTTGGGAAGCTGAGGCCGGTGGATCACCTGAGGTCAGGAGTTCAAGATGAGCCTGGCCAACATGGTGAAACTCCATCTCTATTAAAAATACAAAATTAGCTGGGTGTGGTGGCAGGCACCTGTAATCCCAGCTACATGGGAGGCTGAGGCAGGAGAATCGCTTGAACTCAGGAGGCGGAGGTTGAAGTGAGCTGAGATCGCCCCATTGTACTCCAGCCTGGGTGACAGAGCGAGACTATGTCCCAAAACAAAAAACAAAAAACCCACAATAGACTGTTAAAGCAATTAGGAAGTAAATGTTACACCTAAGGGACTTGTATCTAGAATATTCAAGGAACTATTACATCTTGATAAGAAATGGACAAAAATTTGATTTAATAATGGCCAAGAATCTGAACAGACATTTCTACAATGTTATCTTTTTTCAAAGAAGATAAACAGGTAGCTGATAAAATCATGAAAAGATGCTCATTATCACTAGCTATCAGGAAAATGCAGATCAAATCCACAATGAGATATTATACCCACTAGAATGGCTGTAATAAAAAAGACATTAAAATTAGTGTTACTGAGGATGTGAAGAAACTGGAACCCTCATACATTGCTGGTTGGGAGGTAAAATGGTGCAGTCACTTTGGAAAACAGATTGGCACCATGACTCATCAATTCCATTCCTCGGTATGTATCCAAGAGAAATGAAAACACACATCCACACAAAAACTTGTACACACATGTTCACAGTAGCATTAATCATAATAGCCAAAAAGTGGACACCCAAATGTCCATTAACTGATGAATGGATAAACAAAATGTGGCATATCCAAACAATGGGATATTATGCAGCCTTAAAAAAAGAATCAAAACTGATCCATGCTACTCCACGGATAAACTCTGAAAACATTACACTAAGTGAAAGAAGTCAGTCACAAACAATCACACATTGTATGATTTCATTGATTCGAAACCTCTAGAATGGGCAAATACATAGACACATGAGTGGTTGCAATCGGCTAGTGATGGTTTGGGAGGGAGGGAACTGAGTACTAAAGAGAATTGTTTTTTTGAGACCAGTGTGATTAAAATGTTGTAAAAGTGATCATGGTGATGTTTGCACAACATTGTAAATATACTAAAAAGCACTGAGTCATACACTTTAAATAAGCAAATTATATTGTATATAATTTTTTTTTTTTTTCCAGACAGAGTCTGGCTCTGTCTCCCAGGCTGGAGTGCAATGGCACAATCTCAGCTCACTGCAACCTCCGCCTCCCGGGTTCAAGTGATTCTCCTGCCTCAGCCTCCAGAGTAGCTGGGATTACAGGCCCCCACCACTACGCCTGGCTAATTTTTGTATTTTTTGTGGAGACTAGGTTTCACCATGTTTGAGACTAGGCCAGGCTGGTCTCAAACTCCTGACGTCAGGCGATCCGTCCTCCTCAGCCTCCCAACGTGCTGGGATTACAGGCATGAACCACCGTGCCCGGCCATATTATATATAATTTAAAAATGTTATGCATGGTCCACTATATGGGAGTCTCATGATGACAGGGACAGAGCCAGCTTTGCACATTACCTTATCTCTAGCCAGTGTCCAACACACAGGCACTCAACTAGTATTTCTTGAGGAAGCAGCACGCTTTTATACTGTTCCTGATGTTTATCCAGTGTTTCATAAATTGCAAAGCATGTTTTTTTTCACAGACAGCAGCAGTTCCTTTGAGCCTCGTAACAACCCCGAAGGTGGTCCGAGTAGGTGATATGAAACTGTTACTGGCCCACATTGTAAAAAATGAGGCGCTGTACAACAGGATAAAGACCAAAACAACACCACCACAACCCGTATCTGTCTACTAAGTTTTATCTGGAGGAGCTCTTTCCCAGGCCCATTTGTCTCCCACTGCTCCTGTGCCCCAGTGAGGGAACGCGCTTCTCATTACAATCAGCGCTGCTCTGGGAGACTGACTCCCAAAATGCCATGAAACAGAGGAGCAAGCAGGGTCAACTGGAAAGCAGAAACCAAAGAACCCAGATTCCTTTTCTGAGCAAACACAGCGATGGGCTAGTGGGATTTTAGCTTGGGGATACTGGACCCAGCCTTCTCAAATACTTCCTACCAGAAGGTTTGTGTTAGCGGGTGTCCCATGACCACGATCTCAATAGCATGTAGCTTACCTATGTTCCAGGCTCCGAATTCAGGGTTCTAGGTTCTAGTTCTCCACCCCTAATTCACATGCTTCGTGAAGAAACCCAGATTAGTCACATTTCAGATTGGACCTTTCCAGCTGTAGTAGCAGGCAGTCACAGGGGGAGTCACCTTGCTGAAAAAAACTCACTGGACGCCCCCTGAAAAGAGGTCTAGAGAAGTTGTTCCGATTCGGACGCTGATTCCTAGTCGGTTACAGAACCCCTGGCCACAGGACATTTAAAGACGTTCTCTTTGAGGTCCACCCGGGCGGCCCAGAAGCGTTGGCCACTTCCAGAAGGGAAGTGGGAGAGACCGGGGGACCCCGAGGGGCCCGGGGCGTTCCCCGCGGGGCGGAGCGCTCCAGACTGCGGAGCGCTGTGGGCAGGGGCGCAGGTGAGCAGCTCGAGCAGAGTTGGCCGCGGCCGTCCTGGCGCCTCCGCCTCCGCGGCGCCCGCATTGCGCTCCACCCCGGCCCGGGGGGCGGGCGAGGGCTCTGCCCCACCGCCCGGGGGCTGCCAAGGGGAGTTGGGGCGGCGACGTGGGCGTCTGGGGACTGTGCGCCCGCGCCCGCCCCGGCAGGGTGCGCTGAGGCGCCGGGGCCGCCACTGGCTGCGGGCGCTGGGCGCGGCGGCCGCGGGAGCCGCAGGTGGTTCCCGGGCCGGCCCTTTTCTCCTCCCCCTTTCCTTTCTTTCGCCTCCCCTCCCTCTCGCCCGGTGTCGGCGGCACTTCCCTCGCTTCCTCCTCCCTCTCCAATCCGGAGGGAGGGAAGGAGCAGCCGGCGCTTTCCTGCCCGCCTGCAAACTTCAGCGGGACTCGCGGCTCCCCTCGCCGCCGCGGCCGCCGCCGCCCGGCGCTGCCCCTGGAACTTCCTCTAGCCGCGCGGCCCGGGAAGCCCTGCGGGTGGAGGAACGCCGCCGGGCGCCAGGCAGCCGCGGCTCGCACCCAAACCCTGTCCCGCGCCGCCCGGGTGCCCGCCCGCCCGCGCGCCCGTCCGTCCGTCCGTCCTTCCTTCCTGCTCGCCCGGCCTCTCCCTTGCGGGCAGGGGCCGCCAGGCTTCCCTCGGCGCCCCGCCGCTGCCTGTGGAACTTCCTCTAGCCGCGCGGCCCGGGAAGCCCTGCGGGTGGAGGAACGCCGCCGGGCGCCAGGCAGCCGCGGCTCGCACCCAAACCCTGTCCCGCGCCGCCCGGGTGCCCGCCCGCCCGCGCGCCCGTCCGTCCGTCCGTCCTTCCTGCTCGCCCGGCCTCTCCCTTGCGGGCAGGGGCCGCCAGGCTTCCCTCGGCGCCCCGCCGCTGCCTGGGACTTCCTTTGTGTTGGATGCAGGCTCGCGCCCCGCGCCGACGGGGGGCGGACTGAAGGATCCCGCGCCGCCGGCCCGCCCCCGCCATGCCCTTCCACCAGAGGACCCTGGAGCCCGCGCGGCTGCGCCGGCCCGTGGCGGCGGGGGCCGGGGCTGCGGGCGCGCCTCTCTTCCGCTCGCTGGAGCAGGTCAGCTCGCATACCCTGGGCTGCCTGCTGGCGCAGCTGGCCGACCTGTCGCGCTGCGCCGGGGACATCTTCGGCGAGCTCGAGGGCCAGGCGGCCGCGCTGGGCCACCGCACCGCCGCGCTGCACCGCCGCCTCGACGCCCTGCACGCCGCCGCTGTGCGCCTAGACCACCGCCGAGTGAAAATCCGTGAGTGGCCGGCGGGCCGGGGGAGGGGAACCGGTCGGGAGGCACCCGGAGAGCTGCTCCCGCCCGCCCCCTGGCGGCCCGGGGTCGGCGCGGGGGCCGCGGAGCCCCACGATGTCGGGGTCTCGAGTGGGGACCGCCGGACCCCAGCGGGAGGCTGGGCAGGTGGCAGGGGCGCAGAGCACTCTGTGACTCGGACTCCTGGAGGGTCTTGGCTACCTCGAGGGAGTGGGCGCGGAGGGTGGGAATTGGGCTGGCCCAGTCCCCCTGTCCGCTACTTCTGTCTGTGTCTGTCTCTGTCTGTCTGTGTGGGAGGCTGAGAGGAGACCGGCGCTGTAGACAGAGGAGGAGCCAAGGCCGTGGGAAAAGGGTCACAGGCAGGTAGCCTGTTGGAAAAGCTAGGGGAGAATATACATTTGGGCTTATAGTAGTTACAGTTTTGGAGACTTCAGGACGATCCGTTTGTAAAACCCTGGGGATGTCGGCGAGCGTTGGGGCTGCTTGCCCCCTCTCTTCCCGCCTCCTACCTGTGTTCTTACCTACAAGCAGAACTATGCAGACTTTAAGGGTTTTCCCATTTGGCGCTGAATTTTCTTTCTTCTCCCAGACCCATAGGCTGTTTGTGATTCAGAAGACCTTGACCTTGAGTTCAGGCTCTGAATCCCATTCATCTTTGTCTGGCTTCCTCCAACCCTGAAAGTCAGGTCTGTGTCCTGACATAGTGATCTCTCCGATCATCCATTTCATTTCAGCAGCTTAACTGGCTCCGGTGAATGAAGCAACTGGAATTTCCTGCTGGACCAAAGCAGAGAAACTTTCAGTGTGATGTCTCTGTGGTTTCTCCCTTTTAAGTACGTGAACTTGGTCATAATCCTAAGTGTAAAGAATAAATTGGAGATGGTTGATGGGTTGCTGGGTGGGAGGGGAGGTGTTGGTGTAACACACGCCTAGATTTCAGCAGCTCTGGATGAAATAGCTTTTTCTCCTAGAATCACTTCATATGCAATCTCGAATAGCTCGTTTTCCAGCTAGCTAGAAAAACTTAGCTATATTTTAACTACCGTACAGCCTAAGAGTTCAAAATTTTCAATTTACTTAATTTCAGTGAGATTGCTTACTATAATACATCTTTCTCCAAGTTGTATAATTATCATGTGGCAGTTTTACATTTTTGTGTTCATCTCTTTGATTGTGCTGTCAACACATTCATATGAATTGTGGACAGTTCCCAACCTGGGAGAGCCTCCCCCTCCAAGAAAAAAAAAAAATCTATGGGGAAGAATCAAAATGATTTCATAAAGTTGTTGACATAATCAGAATATATCTACATAATGTGAGTAATGACTTCATGCATATGGTAGGATATACTGTCCTAGTAGGATGTCATGGTCTACACAGCAATCAGGAGTTGCTTCTAGCGTTTTCTGTGTAGGGTGTAGGTGCGTGGGAGAACCAGAATTTCACCCTTGACAAGGAATGTGATGAGGGAGATCTGATTGATAGGTGAATTGATCTATTGTGGGAATTAAAAAACAAGAGGAAACTCCCTGAAGGTCAAGAACTCCTTCCTTTACTAGTTTGGTTTTATACTTAAATGTATCACTTTTCTCTATTCTTTAGTATATATGCCCCAATAGGCTATTGTCCATAGCCAGAAATCCCCCAAATTCTCCATATTAACTAAGGTGGTTCTAATTACAGTGACTGAAATAACTCTTTTCAAAACTTTTCACAAGTTTGTTTGAATCTTAAATGGTTGTGATTTCATATCTGTGGTCCAGATTGGAGTGCAGTGGTGCCATCTCAGCTCTGGGCACCCTCCGCCTCCTGGGTTCAAGTGATTCTCCTGCCTCAGCCTCTAGAGTACCTGGGATTACAGGCACCTGCCACCACGCCCGGGTAATTTTTGTATTTTTGGTAGAGATGGGGTTTCACCATGTTTGTCAGGCTGGTCTTTAACTCTCAACCTCAGGTGATCCACCTGCCTCGACTTCCCAAAGTGCTGGGATTACAGCCGTGAGCTACCATGCCCGGCCCCATTTTTTTTTTTTTTTTTAAGTAATCATGCAAGAAGGCTTTTTATTGAATATAATTATGCCTGAGTATAAATGTACACGTAGAGAAGAAAACTGACTATAAAGGCATTAATTTTTGTGGTTTCTTTCACCTTCACACACTTTGCTTTTTTATATGCTAAAAAGCAGTGAAATGCATTACCATCTGTTAGAATTCTTTTAAAACAATGCCTCAAACCTTGTTCCTGTGTAAAAACTACAGTTTGAAGTCGTTTGGTACCATTTTAGGCAGGTCTCCAGAACAACATACTCCATTAGTATGGATGGCTAGACTTTTAGACTTGGAATTGACCATAAAGGCCATCCATTTCGTGAACTCTTACCCAGAGAGGAAATCCAGTCCAAGAGCATTGCAGTTAATTCACCCCAGGTTAGGCTGTGGGTTCATGACACATCCGGGCCTGAAGCCCAAACCTTCTGATTGTCTCGCCTGTAGTCCCACTGCCTGTGTTCCTTCCCTTTAGAAGAGTGTGGGGCCAGGCACAGTGGCTCATGCCTGTAATCCCAGCACTTTGGGAGACCGAGGTAGGTGGATCACTTGAGGCTAGGAGTTCAAGATCAGCCTGGCCAACATGGCGAAACCCCGTCTCTACTAAAAATACAAAAATTAGCGAGACTGTCTCAAAAAAAAAGTGTGGAAATGGGGAGCAAAGTTTAGATACCTTCCTTAAACAGTCCTAAGGATAACTGTGACCGTTAATTCCACCCTTCTTGTCAGATAAACCTTTTAATGAGTCTCCCTAGGAGCAATTAACAGAATCCAGCAGTTTACCAGAAGCCTTTAGCAGTGGGGGACAGCGTTATTTCAGTGACCAATAATAGCTCTCTACCATAAGAAAGGATGTGAGAATGTCAGTGGAACAATTTAAAAAGAGGTATAGACACTCTTTGTGATACAGAGACAGTATTTTAGTCCTGTGGGCTGGCCCTGCTGGCCTCAGTGGTCCTCAGAAGTATTTCATCAAGTTTGCCATTCCTCAAAATCTCATGGGTAGAAAGTTATCCAAAATAATTTTTTGTCATGCCTTGGGGAGAATGCATGTTATCATTCTGTTCATTGAAGACTCCTACTTTCTTTCCCAGACACCCCCAGGTTGAGGGAATGTTCCTATGGCATTGGTTCACCTCGATCATATTTACCAAGGGGACCTCTGCACTGGTCTGCCAGACAGCAGGACCTTCGAGGTCCAGGATGGCCGAGTCTTTGTTTTTCTAGAGCTTAGAACAATGCCTGGATGTAATAACTCAATAGATGTTTGAATTGAATTAATACTTAGTGACTTAGTGCTTACTGTCAGGAAGAATAACTGTAAAAACCTGAGGAAGGAGGACGGATCTTTTGAGGCAGGTGGATCTGTTGAGGCCAGGAGCTCAAGACTAGCCTGGCCAATATGTCGAAACCCCGTCCCTACGAGAAATACAATACTGCTACCAGTGTAAGTGATCCAGACAGTTACTTTACAAAAACAAAAATGTAAACTATTTCTGCCTTTAACCTTTAATGTTTAACCACCAATCTCTGCTCCTGTCTGTAAAAGTTGGACTTCATTAATTTTGCTGACACAGTAAGTTCTCATGGAAAATAGTGACGATAGCCAGCAATGTGAGTAGTTACTTCTTGGCTCTGTAAACATCAAAATAGACTTTGCTAAGCAGAAATCAATAGACACTCGATCTAATAGTCCTGTTTTTTAATGTTAATTTTAATTTCTTTGAGACGGAGCCTTACTCTGTCGCCTGGGATGGAG